TAAGCAAGCTGGCCATTTTTAAATATAAATTCATTCAGATATGGAATGAAAGTTATTTGAATAGTAATAAACGTTGTAAGGTCGACATATTTTTTTTAAATTATTTTTTGGTGGCACCAAAATTAACTCGAGTAATCTTCGTCCATGTTTGAAAAACACGAATTTCTGTTTGTTGTTATTGTGGATTATTTAATGTTATTGTGAAACGAAATGCGAGAAATTATTTTCTAAAGCGGGTGCTAAGATAAACGCGCGAAGAACTAGAATCAGTAAAAAGCATCGGCAAACAATTTTATTCTTAAATGTTAATTAATTTTTTTTTACTTTATTTGCTGCAATCAACAATCTGCTAATGTAAACATTAGAGCATTAAGAAGATTATTTCACAATAGTCACATTTACTAGTAGATTCGTAGATTTTAAAAGTTTGTACTTAAAGGAATCTTTTCTGTAGGTCGATCGAAAGAAAGCCCTACGCTTTCTTGAGTCGTCGTATTGGCATGTTATCTAATAGGTGAGTCGCAAGTAGGTTTGGATGTCTTCCAATTCTGGTGTGGTATCTTGTTGATTTTTGGCTTATTTCATGGCGGATGGTAGAGACTTTCAGATCGTTGTGGATGGTGTTATTATTTACATACCATGGCGCGTCGACTATTTGTCTTAACGTTTTGGACTGATATCTCCGCAGTATTTCGATATTACTGGTGCTAGCTGTTCCCCATTGTTCTATACCATACCTCGATATTGGTTTTAGTACCGTTTTGTATAATAAGATCTTGTTTTCAAGACTAAGCTTGGACCTTCTACGTATCAACCAATGCATCTTCCTTGTTTTTATTTCCAATTCTTTTCTTTTCTTCTGGATGTGTATCTTCCAGGTGAGTCTTCTATCCAGGTGCATCCCCAGATATCTTGCATGATTGGCAGTTAAGATAGGGGTGTTGTTGATTTTTATAGGAGGACATGATCTTCTTCTTAAAGCGTATAGCACCTGCGTGAACTTTTCCTCGTTGATATTAATTTTCCATTTGGCCATCCATTTCTCAACTTCGTGAACATGTCCTTGGAGTGTCTCAGCTGCGCTGTTTAAATCGCTATCTGAACTCAATAGTACTGTGTCGTCCGCAAATGTAGCTGTCAGAATGTTATCGTTTTGTGGTAGATCCGATGTGAAAATTGTGTATAGGAAAGGTCCCAGTACAGATCCCTGCGGAACTCCCGAGCTTATGCTAAAGAAGATTGAGTAATTCTCATTTACTTTTACTTGAGCAATTCTGTTATCGAGATAAGATTGGACTAATAGGTAAAACTGCGGAAACCATTTTTTTGCTTTGTAGAAGAGGCCTTTGTGCCAAGCCTTGTCAAAAGCTTGTCTAATTTCCAGATGTACAGCTGGACAGTATGCTTTTTCCTCGAACCTTCCTCTTATTTTGTTAGTGACTATCAAATTGGTTGTCAAAATCATTGTCGTGTGACCGCATCTGAATCTAAATTGGTTGTCCGGAATTAGTTTGAAGAAATTTTCACGTTTTTGTAATTGTGCTAGGAGGACTTTTTCAAAAACTTTTGAGAGCAGTGGGAGTAGGCTTATTGGTCTGTACGATTCAGGTTTAGTGCTGTCTTTTCCTGGTTTTAGTAACATTAATATGTTGGACACTTTCCATTGGTTTGGTATGCAGGTTGTTCCAAAAATAGAATTGAATATTTGATTGATGTAGATTATTGCTTTCCTATTTAAGTTTTTCAGAATTTCTGCCGTGATGAAATCATAGCCT